ACACACACACACACACACACACACTCACACACACAGGCATAGAGCAGTGACGCGATTGCAACACATCACATTCTTCAAAACAATCTACTGCATCCTTAAAGGAATAGTTCACCCAAAAATGAAAATGATCCCATCATTTACTCACACTCAAGCCATCCTATGTGTACACTGAATGCCTTTCTTCTTCCAGACAAACACAATCAGAGTTATATTACATAATATCATTGCGCTCTTCCCAGCTTCGTAATGGAAGTGAATGGTGGCCAATTTTTTGAAGCTCCAAAAAAGCACATCCATCCATCATCAAAGTAATCCATACGACTCCAGTGGGTTAATGAATGCCTTCTGAAGCCAAGTGATGGGATTTTGTAAGAAACACATCCATATTTACAACTCTATAAACTATTATCACTGGCTTCCAGCAACTCCTGTACACGAGTTCACGAGAGAGTCAAGTTACGACATATGATGTCATTTGACATAACGAAAACTAAGGTGAGAACTGATGCCTCTTTTTGGAGTGAGTTGTGAACAGAAGCGAGTTGTTTTGGCTATATTGTAGATTTGCATAAGTGTCTGTCTTAAAAACGTGTTTAAAATGTTTTTAGAGTGTTGCTAGGGTGTTTCTATGGTGTTCTGGGGGGTTGCTAGGCTATTGCTTCAGTATGGTTTTCTGGGTCATTTGTAGGGTGTTGCTGTGCAGTTGCTCAAGTGCTTGAAATGTTTTTAGAGTGTTACCAGGGTGTTGCTAGGGTGTTTCTTTGCTGTTCTGACTGGTTACTATGAGATTTCTATGGTATTCTGGGTCATTGCTAGGGTGTTTCTAGGGTGTTCCGGTGGTTTCTAGGCAGCTGATGTTTTTACTGTGTTGCTATGGAATTTCTAGGTTATTCTGGGTCATTGCTAGGGTGTTTCTATGGTGTTCCAGTGGTTTCTAGGCAGTTTCTGTTTTTAGTGTGTTTCTATGGGATTGCTAGGTTATTCTGGGTCGTTGCTAGTGTGTTTCTATGGTGTTCCGGTGGTTTCTAGGCAGTTTCTGTTTTTAGTGTGTTTCTATGGGATTGCTAGGTTATTCTGGGTCGTTGCTAGGGTGTTTCTATGGTGTTCCGGTGGTTTCTAGGCAGTTTCTGTTTTTAGTGTGTTTCTATGGGATTGCTAGGTTATTCTGGGTCGTTGCTAGTGTGTTTCTATGGTGTTCCGGTGGTTTCTAGGCAGTTACTGTTTTTAGTGTGTTTCTATGGGATTGCTAGGTTATTCTGGGTCGTTGCTAGGGTGTTTCTATGGTGTTCCGGTGGTTTCTAGGCAGTTACTGTTTTTAGTGTGTTTCTATGGGATTGCTAGGTTATTCTGGGTCGTTGCTAGTGTGTTTCTATGGTGTTCCGGTGGTTTCTAGGCAGTTTCTGTTTTTAGTGTGTTTCTATGGGATTGCTAGGTTATTCTGGGTCGTTGCTAGGGTGTTTCTATGGTGTTCCGGTGGTTTCTAGGCAGTTTCTGTTTTTAGTGTGTTTCTATGGGATTGCTAGGTTATTCTGGGTCGTTGCTAGTGTGTTTCTATGGTGTTCCGGTGGTTTGATGTTGTTAATGCTGACACACCCCTGTGTATGATGTGCTGGCTCTGCAGGTAGTCGAGCGCCAGCGTCATCTCGCACAGGTAGAGTTTGACGGCGTCCTCGGTGAACTGCACGTTCTGCTGCAGATGATAGCGCAGATCTCCTCCTAACAGCAGATCCACCACCATGAACATGTCCTCCTCGTCCTGGAACGAGTACCTGGAGCACAGGTCAGAGGTCAGAGGAAGTGACATCACACAGCTCTCATTTAACATGCAAATCGCTCTCCTGGTGAACTGATGAGTCGTGTGAGATATCGTCACCATCAGAAGCTCTGCTATCGTCTTTCACAGATTGAGGTTTGCTAATTAAAGTTGTAGAGATGATCTGATTTGGACATTTTCATTAAAGTGTCGACACAGTCTACATTAGCTGTCAATCATCTGTCCATCACACTGCTAACGAACTATTGTAACACAGAGGCTTCTGTCATCTAATCTCCTGAAATCCAAAGTCAGGGAAGCACAGGTTTATTATGTAACTAAAACTAAAACCCTAAAAAAAAAATTTTTTTTAAAAATAAAATAAATGTTGTCAAATAAAATTAAATACAAAAAAATATATATATATAATAAATTCAAAACTACTTTTAATTTTATATCAGCTACTTGCCAAGGCAACATTTCTCATTTCCATTTAGTTAACATAAAATAAAACTAAAACTGAAATAAAAATTTATAAAAACTATAGTGACATAAAAAAAATAAAAATGACAAAAACATGACTAAAAATGACTAAAACTTTAACAAAATGTAAAATAGAATTTAAAGAATTAAATATTTTAATCAGAAAATTAAATGTAAAAAAATATTTCAGCATTTCTTATTTTTATGTAGTTTAACTTGATGTATTAAAATAACTAAAATGGCAATAGAAATTAATAAAAACTATATAGACATATTTTAAAACCATTAAGGATTATAAAATCAACATTACTAAAACTTTAATCACATTTGAAATATTAATAACTTTTTTATATTTTATTCAGAAATAAAATCTATGCTTATTTCAGCTAGTTGCCAAGGCAACATTTCATTTAATTTATTTAGCTTAAAATAAAACTGAAATAAAAATGTATGAAAGCGATATAGACATATTTAAAACAAAACTAAAATGACAAACACACAACAAAATTGCAAAAATGTTACAAAAATTATTAATCATTCTAAATATTAATAAAAAATATGAATGTAAAACATAATTCCAAATATTACTAAAATTCAAAATATTAATAAAAATTGGAAATATAATAAAAACATACTGTATAATAGTATGTCAGTGATACTAAAATAACACGAATAGTTCGGCTCAGCTGCTGATCACAGGAATGAAGTTTCCATTTCACACTGAGTCCCTCGTTCTCATTATATACTCATGAGATGCTGTGAGGACTCTCTGAGCGGTGTGTGTGTGTGTGTGTGAGTGTGTGTGTGAATTATGTGTGTGCGTGTGTGTGAGTTATGTGCAGTGTTGGGGAAAGTTACTTTTAAAAGTAATGCATTACAATATTGCGTTACTCCATAAAAAAGTAACTAATTACGTTACTTAGTTACTTTTTGTGGAAAGTAATGCGTTACGTTACTTTTGCGTTACTTTTTAAATCTGGACAGGGCTTGCTTGTTTGTTTTTAAAATAAAAAAGTTCGATTTTTGGCAAATATAAAAGCCTTTTCACACCAAAAGTGAAACGAATAAGCCTCAGGCTGAAGGGAAAGTAAATGTACGTCCGTACAGTA